TGTGGGTTCATTCATTAACGGCTCATCCTTGCATGAGTTTGTGCTGTTTAAACATCACAAGATACATATCAGATATGACTAAAATCAATGTTTTCTGACGGTATGCAAATACTTTCTATCACAGAAAATGCAAAAATCTAGATAATGAAAATTGAAAACTAGGTGGCAGTAATAACCCAGCCATACGGCTCTCCTGTGAGTGAACATGGGATGACTCATAGCTTTCTTAGGAATCCTGAGGGTGCTGCAGTCCCATACAGCCCCATGGTGTAGCTATTAACAAGTAGAAAAGCACATGGCTGAGTGTTCAAATGGGTTCATTTGTTTGAAAGCAGAACACGATTTGCTTTAATTAAAGAGGGATAACAAGAAGCAAATTGAATATTATAGGTGAATTAATTAATGGAATGGAACTTGCGTAGTTGTTAAATATGTTAGAAACAATTTTCTTCTCACGATGAGTGGCAGAAGAGGTGGAGCTGTGTTTGCCTCTGAGACTTGTGTTACTTGTGGTTGTGGCTAGGGGCCAGCAAGTGTTTGAGAGTCCATAAGCAGATTGCTGTTCACACTGATGGTTGTAGGGGGTATTCCTCTCAAGCCAGAGTAAGCTAAAAGTAATGTGAGTGAAATCGGCAGAATTACCCCGTGGAAGGACTATTACTGGCTCTAAACCTCTCAGGAGTCCATGATTAACATCCTCACTTATTTAGAGGCATGAACTGAGGTTACAGTCCTAGAAGCATTAGACAACAGAAAGATTTATTGGCTGACTTCATTGTTTAAAAGCAATACTCTCTCCTTAGATTCATACAATTTAATTGCATGCACAAAGAAGAATGTGATGTCCTTTTCTGGTTAGTAGAACTGCTTGTGTGGCAGGACTGGGCAGAAATGTTTGGGGAATCCTTCCTTCTGGATGTGGTTGTTCGTCCGTCAGCACTGGATATCTGTTGTATTTTCCTTATTCCCATAAATTGTTTTGTTTGAAACTGGGTCACCTAGACTTTCTCAGGCTGAACTGTCACAAACTTGTCTTGTTTAAACCAACATTGAAGACACTGGTTCTGTGTTTGATTTCAATTTATGTAGCTCTGCACACAAAGATCTTTTGATATCTGCTCCTTGTACAGCTAAAAGTTCTATGCTTCTATGTTGAGGTTTAAACTCAGAAGTGCATGGCACTCCTGCCTGTAGTATAACTAAAGTTGATTTGCTTCTTCTTTTTCTTCAGTGAGAAGTTTTAAATATAACTCCTGTACCATTTTTTTTAGTCTAACTAGGATGTACCAATGTGTTAATGCTAGCATATGCTTCTTCTCTCTCTCTCTTTTTTTTTTTTTTAAGGTATTTCCCAAATCCATTTTTGTTACTTCTTCTACCCTTCTGAAACATGTATGTAGGATGTGATGAAGTAATAGCTGCCAGATAATGAAAAAAAGCCCAGGTTTCCCAAGTCATCCACAGAATTCTTAAAATGCCCTGTAGAAACCTAGCAGTAATAGAAATGCATTTTGTCTTTGCTGTAGGATTGCTAGATAGGTGATCACAGGACTATCTGATAGATAATGGACAACAGTTAATGGTGAAGTTTTACCTTGAAATTAATAACTCACTTTACTTTCTAAACTATTGTTGTTTTCCAAAGATTTCATTTTCATTCCCCTGGGCCATTCCTTATTTGCATAATATTGAAGTCTATCAACTCTGTATTTCAGCGCTCTCTGGAAAGCACGATAAGACTTTTTAATTATTATTGACACCCTGATTTTTGCATACGTTCAGGAGTTTGTTATGTTAGGAAAAATTGGTAAGTCTTTGGAGCCAGACAGATTTTAACCACCTCCAAACTAAAACTCCTGCAGGGATGGAAGGGTTTTCGGCCTACTCCTGAGCACATGGGGAACAAGGGTATGCTTTGGGTACTCACTGGTGCACAGCACACATTTTTGCCTGTCTGGAGTATAGAAATTCTGAAGTGGTTATTCTCACCTCTGCAGCTGAGAGCTGGCTTCTAAGCACAAAAACAATGCTTGTGATTTGTTTTTATCTGTATTTTACTGGCTTAACTGCTTTTGATGATGGACTATCAGCTCATTCTTGCTATTCTGGAGGCTTAGATGAAAAACTTTTCTGGTGGCATTTTAGAACACGTACATTTGTGGACTTTTGCCCTGTCAAGATTGCTTTTGCTTTTGTTGAGCAGAGCTAAAGGCTTATTGGATGTATTCCAATGTTTTATACTTTAAAAAATGGATATATTCCTACAGAATTATATTGTTGCAAGTTCCTGTTCCTGTTGCAATTTAAAACAAACAAACCAAGCTGTGATAAGTGTAGTTATCAGCAATATAGAAAAGTTCATAGCAATTACTTTTATAACATCACAGATCTGCTGTGGGTAATTAACATGTATTGCTTTAAGATCCCGGTACACTTTACACTTTACTATCACATCATAAATAGTAGGATATCTGTGATCTCTTTCATGTTTGTGTCTCTGCTTTTGCTTTTACTTGGGTGTTTACCAGATGACACTTTCTGTCCCTTAATTTTTTCTAACAGCCTCTTCAATGCTAAGCTCCTGTTGCTGGAAACCTTTCTAAGGAATTAAAGAGCATATGTAATTTCTGGGTGAGTTTGTTGGCTTCTGTTCTCTTCAAAACTCCATTCAACTAAATACTGCAGAAGTAATTGATACATTTGCCTGCAGAGGGGGATTGCAGAGTCTTGCATATCAGAAGTTAACCACAGATAATTTTTTATCCTTTCTGGGAAAAGCAGAAGTATCTTTACTTATTTACGGGAAACCAAACATAAATAATTAACTTTGAACACTTGAAAGTGAAAATACTGTTTGGATCTATGTATGCTGAGAGACAAAAATCAATGTAAGTGTACAGGAAGGAAAATACATTTCTGTGCACTATTTTCCCAGTCACGCCGCATAAATTAGTAAAGAAAGGTACCTCTGTTTCAGGTAGATGTGCTTGACTTAAAAAAGAATTGCCTTAAAATGCAACATATATCTTCACTTTTTGAGTCTTCCATGGACGTGTGAGGACATTTTTCTTGTGCAAATGAATCTTTACAGTCAATCACAAAGCTGCTAAAATCTATTATTTTCCTGTGATGTAATACTAAGGTAATTCTCCCACCAATGCTGTGAATGGTAAACACAGATTGTAATGAATGCTTTATATTTCCAAGTAGGAAGGAGGCAATTCCTATTTCTATTTACAGAAATCTTAATACACTTTCAAGCTCTTCTTGCATGCTTTGTTCTAAGCATATATTCACTATATAAACCTATGTGTAGTTACACTTTTAAGTAAGCAGCACTTGCAAGATTGGAAGCCTTATTTTAAATATATACTAGTTTTGCTGAGGTTTTTATCAATAAAACTTTTCTCTGAGCTATTCCTTTACAGCAGTAAAATGATAATAACATGTATATTGGATCTTATTGTGTAAGTCCTTCATTATAAATGATACAAAAGATTTACATACATAAGATACCTTTACATGAAACAGCAGCCCTGTTTTTTCCTGGGGCAGCAAAAGGCTGACAGAATAGAACATCAGAAAGCATGGGGAACATTTCAGGAGACAATATTACAGAGTTATTTCCTGATAGAGAAGCTGGCCGGAATCCTCAGGTTAGCTTCACCATCTCCTATGCATTATGTGTTGGACAGGACATGGGGCTAGTGTTCAGTCTGAAAGGGCCTAAGTCCTCCAGAGAAATAAGAGGGCAGTGAGCGCTGAGCAAAGGTTGCGGTATACATTCTTTTTGTGTTTACTGAACAGTTGAAGTTATCAGCCTTTTTCTTTGCTATGTACCAAGTGCAGCAAACCTTCACTGCAGATCTACAGTTATACAGGTCCAAGTAAGCCCTAGGTAGTTAGCTTATTCTTCATTCCGAATACATTTAGCTGTACTCTCCTAAACTGTGACAGTGGTATAAATGTGGTACTAAGATGCACTAATTATGCATATCTCTGACTTTATTAGCATTATTTGTATAGAAATGTCACAATTTGGTCCTGAAACTGTTTCTTACACACTCTGGAATCTGCATTTTCAGGCTGGAGAACTGCCTTGAAAAATAAATTCAGAACACTTCGTAGATTTTTCTGACAGTTGGGTGATAGAATTAACAGTCAAATTAAGTCTCATTTGGTTCAAATATAACAGCTGAAAGGCTGACCTTTGCAAAAAGTTTACTGGTTCCAAAAAGTTACAACATTTTTCTCATTATATTTAATGTTTTTAGATATTATATGCTTTATCAAGTTTTCCAAAAGAAACATTAAGTGGAGTCTGTATGAGATCTATATTGGTCTATTTAATACTTATTCAACGCTTTCAGCTGTAAAAGTTTTATACTTCTCTGACCTGATCAGAGATGGCAAATAACAGCAGTCTTTTCTGGAAATGTAGTGGCCTGAAGTTTTCATTTTGATCTTTTTTCCAATACTTGACAGTTTGAGTGTCGATCCAAACAGATGAAGCATCTGCTCAATCTGCTTTTCTGTTGTTCTGCACGTCATGTCTGGCTTTCAAGAAAAATGTTCCCATTTTTCACTGCTGGTGCTCTACACCTGCATTCACTGCTCACTTCACAATTTCTTGTTGTATAGGGATATGTTTTAGTGCTCACGCTGGTGATGGGTCAACAGACTAGATGAACATAGTGGTCTTTTCAAACCTTTATGATTCTATATTCATATATGTGAATGGCTGATGTATCATTTACTTCCGTCTTGCCTTATTTCTAAGGATATAAAGAGCTTTACAGATGTAATAAATTACACATCAAGAGTCATTTTAGAATGTGAGAGACACTGATCTGGTCTTACAGCTGATGACCTCATGGAGAAGAAGAGACCCGTTCTGTCAGGAGAATTCAGCCTCCAGAACACAATGGACTGCCTGGAACTTTTACTCTTTGCCACACTTGCGGCTATGGGGCAGTAGAGGAGGGCAGAGCAGGAACATGGGAGAAGCAGAGCCTCCCTACAGAACCACAGATCCATGTGGGAGCTGCCATGGAAGTGAGTGCCCCTCCTGACACACACCTCTCACAGCTGTTCCTGCAGGTGGAAAGGCAGCCTATATGGATTTATGTATGCCTCATTCCCTTGGAGTGCAGGGTGGGTGGCAGCGAAAGCCACTCAGTAGTTCTTGTAACGACTCTGTTCTGAGAATGTTTCCCCTTGAGTGTCAATTTTCAAATGGAAAAGACTCCACAAAACAGAGATACTGCGGAGTTATGGAAAGCTGATCTTGAAAGCTGTCATGAAATAAATACATATACGACGTTATAAAAATGGGTTTTGTATAAACTGCCCTCTTTCAGCAAACATTTCACTTCCTATAATTGTGTGCGCTTTTGTTTGAACTTATCAAATATGTGATTGTTCTCCTTCTCTTTCAGGGAGATAAGAAATCCACCCTCCGGATATGTAGAATGATGTTGTTGTAATCACTCTTCAAAGGGAGATCCACAGTAAACAAATGTTAGCATGTTGCCTCTGCAGCTTCTTTTGGTGAGTGCATGATTTCCAGAAAAAAGGCTGGGACGAAGGGGGGAGGACACATTTAGCTGAAGATCCAGTAGATAGTTTTCCTTTTTTTCAGCCCAAGAAAGACCAAAATTGATCGGTCTGTATAAGAACACTCACCTCCAAGTACAGTTTTATTTCTTTGTTTCGCTTCAGAATGGATTGTCTCTCTCTCTGAAGTTTGTCAGCATTACTATAAACCAGTAAGACTGGGAAACAAAACTACCCCTTAAAGAAAAGTGTTTGGACCAGTAACACTATATAACAGCAGTTAGATTTCCGTGCCTGAGGTACACAGGAATTTTACTGTTATAGTTACACCTATCAAAACTGCATCCTCTCGCTCAAGCTGCTGATGTTGGCAAAAGTTTTAAATGCAGACTGTATCTCCATCCCCCTCCCCCTGCAAACATAATGTTCCTCAATTTGATCAGATCAGCCCTATGGAACCCAAAGTAGCCAGCTCAGTTCAGTAACGCCAGCCTGCAAGATTTCCCAGTTTGTCTGATGAGTGTTTCACCTTTGTCTTGAAGAAGGCAGGGCGCCTCTGAATTAGAGCTCTTTCCCTTCACTCTTCTGCTTGTAGGCCTAAGGAAGTCCATGTTGTTATCATAGGTGTAGTTGCTTCTTGTGACACAGCAGGAAAAGGACAGGGCCAGGATTGCTGCCTTACTCTGCTGACCGTTTGAGTTCTCTGGAGGGCAGATGCAGAACGTTTGTGAGCAGAAGCTCAACAGTAACAAAAAAGTTGGTGCTTTGGTTCATTAGTTTCCTGTATTCTCCCATGAGAAGATGTCAGTTTTTCACATGAATGTGGAGCAGAGGCAAACTTCTATCCAGCATGGAGGTGCCTGGCTCATTTCTGTACTCTGTGTGCAGCCAGAGCTTTGTTAAAAAGCTTTCTGTTAATATGTTAATATATGATTTCTGCTCACAGCTGTTTCTCACTCAAGAAATTGGAAGTGAAAAACCCAAAAGCTATGTGTAGTGCAAACCTTTATTTGTCAAAAATACAGTCTCCGAGTAGGGTAGACGGATATCTACCCTCCAATTTCCAACCCCATCACCTTAAATTCAGAAAGCTCTTTAGATCTCGTGAACTGCTAACAGAAGTGAATCCATGATTTATAAACCAGAGATTTGAAATTATTTGTTGTAGCAAGGTCTGAATTCCTACCCAAACCTGATTTGTAATTCTGAAACTTTTAAGGCTTGCTGAAATCTTTTCTGACGATAGCAGCTGTAAAAAAAACCTGGTACAGTAAATCAGCAAGAGGCAAATATTCAGTGCTACTGTCAGCACTTAGCAGACCTCAGTCTCAGTTGCCCCATTGTGTTGCTATTCATGAAAGCAATACTTCTAGATATACCTAATCTTAGCATTCTTAAAGCCATCATTAGTTTAAATGTTTTCCTAAGTCTGGGCCTCAGATTTTGCAGTATCTGATTGCCTCCAGTCCTGCTGTGTACATTTTAACCTGTTCCAGGTTTCCAGGATTGAGACAAGCAACTACTTTTTATGGTGTTTGTGCTCTGTTTGAAGCAGAGAAGTGGGAGTGACACATAAGGATTCATCTTTGGAAAAGATAAGGAAAAGGTAGAACTGCAGCCATAAAACTTTGAATAGGTAGTGCTAGTAGAGCTGGGGTTCAGTGCAATAGAGTAAGAACTTCCTACAATATCATGAAGACTTTACTAAGAAGATGAAATATGACATATTGTCTTTGAGTAAGACTTTTTATCTTCCCTGCTTTCTAGTCTTCCTTAGGAGAAATGTTAGTAACATTGACATATTTACATTTGAAATAAGATGTAACCTAGTGAAGTGTTTAGCAAAACTGAGCACGTCCTCTGAATTAAACATATACATAGGTATTTTGTAGATCAATCTAATTATTTCAATTTTGTGATTTGATGCTGTTCTTTTAGTTAGAAATCTTATCTAGGACTAAAACCTGTCAGCTAATATTAGAGGTCTCATGTATTCTTGATGACAGTCATTGCCCCTGCACTCAGATCAAACAAACCCATTCAAAAATGTAAATCCGAGTTGATTTTTCTTGCTTTGGAAACAAAGGCTCAATTGTCAGAATCCCATAGCGTCTTCTATTATCTAAGTATTTTTTTTTTTTTGCAGAATGTACATTGATTCATGTCCCTCAGCATAATGCATTCTTTGTTTGAATTGTTTCCAACATTTTTGATGTAGATTTCTTTTTTTTCTTTTCTGCACTAAGAAGAGCAGTTTCATTTTTCATCACTTCTTTTTCAAAGAATAAAATGTTTGTCTTTACAAAGTTTTCAATGGATGGCAATCTCTAGCATATCAACTATTCATTCATTGGAAGGATAGTTGGTGACTACAATCATGAAATGCAAACCTTGGTTAGGTGGAATCTGGCCTTCCTGTCTCTCTCTCTCTTTTTTTCCTGTTTTTTTTTTTTTTTTTTTTTTTTTTAATTTTAATTTTAATTTTTATTTAAATGTTGGTTCTGCTAGTTCAAGAAGTAGAACTTCAGTAAACTTTAACATCAGATCAATGTCTGGGTGTCTTCACCAACTTCACTTTCTAATTGTTTAGTACATCCAAGTCCAGGCAAGGTCACTGGGAGATGTAGGTATTTGGAGGTTTAAAGCCCAGGCTGATGTTTTTAAAGTGCTTAAATATGCATTAAGGAAACTAAATCTTATGACGAAGATTTAAAATGTAGGGTTTTAATTTATTTGATGTAAACTTTAATTTCCCTGTCCTTGATAATACTGGACTGTGGGTGTTATTGGCTGCTATTATGTAACAAGTGTATGAATATTACAATTTAGCCCTTCTGCAGACATTGAGGTTTTGTAATGTATGGAAACTTGCTGACGTTCTCCTGGACTCTGAAAGACCATTAAATTTCCATTAATAATTTTCTTTTTCCAGTTTTACCTCGAGATACTGAATGCCTTTCTGTCGCTGCATGCTTTCTACATGAGTCTCTAATTTTTTGAAGGAGCACGTTGCTTCAAATATCCATACTCAAAGGAATTCCACTGCACTTGTGTAACTTTAGCTGTTGCGTTTAAAATTTTCTTAAGAATCCATTTGCTTTCTTCTCACTTTGTTCAATATCTCTTGCCTATTTCTGCAAAATTAGCTTATGTAGACATTTTATTCAGTGTCTTTATTTTTACCATATTAGAATTCTAGCACACAGAAAACTGAGACTGTTTGCTTCACTGTAGTAGGAAAATCTGCTCAAAGCTTTACTTTACATACCCTTTATGAGTAGGTTTGCAGAGTCATGTTTGGTGACTACTGACTGATTTTGCAAGAAAAAGGAGTTCCTGTTTGTATGTTCATCTATCATTCTGAATAAAAATCTCAGTTGTCTGGGAATAATTAACTAGAATGAAAATAAAATTGACCAGTCATTCTAAGGAAACAACCAGTAGAAATAATTCAGGTAAGATTTGCAATGGTATGAACTCCCAGTGAAACGGGTTTTGTTCCAGGAATCCAAAATGCAAATATTCATGCCACACTTTAATAGTCATTCCCATAGTCTTCAGCTGTTCTCTCACCAGGAGATCTCTCAGAAACAATCTCTGCTGAAAGGAGTTTCTGAATGCTTCCAACCATTTAGGAATGCAGAAAGTTACAGGTGTACATATTGTACAAATGCACTGCCAGAAATAATTGCATGTGACAGCTCAAAATCCGCAATCTAATTACAGTACCTGGCCAGATCTTCTTTGGACATAACGCCACATGTTTTGGTTACACGCCAAAATGTTCTGTGAATTCCACCATCTTCACAACCATTTAACTGAAGGAAAGTATGTATACGTACCTTTGAGGAATAGAGTTTAGTTTATATAAGACTCAACTAAGATCTGTAATAGCAAGGATAGACAGCACATTGTTAAGTGCAGAAACCACAACCGCCAGAAAGACTTTCTGTTTTATTTACTGACCCAAACCACAGGAATTCTTTCATTACTTTTCTTCTATTCATGCAGGTACCATATCAGGATGGGTGAGCTGTCTCCAGTTAAGGCAAATTAACCTGTGAAGAAACAAAGCAAAGTGTAAGTTAGCAGCTTCCTGATTTTGCTTATGAAAATGAGTTTCAGGTGCAAAGTTGTGATCTATGTGAATTATATGCGGTCACTGAATAGCAGAAGATAACTTACTTAGGCCATTTAAGGACAGGAGCAAGAACAAAAAAAGTGCTAGTGGTGACAGTGCTGCAACATCAGATGATGGTACCTACAGTGTGAAAAATAAATAATAATTTTACAAGTGTCTCTGTCCTTCATCTATTTCTTGAAATGAGAAGAAAGAAGAACTATAGTGCAAAGATTTCTCTCTTTCCTTTCAGGGAGCTAGCTTGGAGCTGCCTTTTGCCACTCAAGTTTATTGCTTTCTTGGACTTTAAATTGGTTTCTTCTGAGTGAAGCAAAGATTGTACTGACCTAAATGTCAATTGAATTAATGTATTCTTGTTTTGGTCTTTATTTTTTCTCTTGGAGCTACTTCTAGCTTGAATTACTGAGCATTTCAGGGCTCGAAGACAAGGTCACAGTCATGCAAAGAATTAGAACGGTGGGACATTTTAAGTTTGTCTTCAGTATTTTGAGAGAAACACAGTTTGAGCACAGTTTTTTTCTTAGCTTACAAAGGAAAATAACTGTATCAGAAACAATAGTAATCACTATTACTGAAAACCACTTGCTTGGTGATGTTTTCTTCAGTGAAAGTGAGGGGCAGTAACTAGTCAAGCTATATAAAGAACAGCGTATAAATCATAACTGTAGCTGCAGAACTCCTTGACCATGAGTAATTCTGCTGCTGATTCTCATCTTTTTCTGACGATTGCTTCATTCCCTTTGCAGAGACAACAGGCATCCTGAGTCAAAGTGCATGGCCACATAGCCTCTGCACGTAATCCTTGGTCTGTCAGCTGTTCATGTGAGATATACTGCAACAACTTGGTGTGCAGTTTTGCCAGCTAGAGTCATGACTCTCCTGGCGTGTTTCTGAACTCTTAATAGAGAAGCAAAATGTTAGTGTCTAGTACCCAGCAATATTCCTCAGAAAGAGTAGGCACTATTGTAAAAGTTCACTTTCAATGAGCGTGATCAGACCAGTTACGTATTTGTGGTAGTTTTCCTGGAAAACAAAGGCGAGAGGCACTGTGCTAGCATAAGTAGAACTATTCTTAAAAATGGATTTGGATATTATGTGGCATTCTTTTTCAAAGTGCATTGCTCCTTCTTGTCTTGTCAAGTATTAGCAGAACACTGCCAGTTTTCTGATACTATGGGGAAATATTTGTCTTGCATGATCTAGTTCTTAGTTAAACTTCTGTATATCCTAATGACTGGAAAATGTACTGCATAACATGGGAGGACTACGGTAGGCTTTAAATGAACAGAATCAATTACTACAATAGAGAACATCAGTGGCAGTGAGCAATGAGCAGCTAAGTTTAGCAGAAGAACAGTGAAGTGTAATGCAAGATTTTTCAAAAGTGTCCCACTTCATGAGAGCACAAAAAACCTTTGGAGCCTTGGGAATTTGGTAGTGTTGAATAAATGAAATCTTCTGTGGCTTTTGTCAGCGGAACAAGCAAGGTGTGAACTTCACATGAATAAAATGCAGGGAGGGAAAAAAAAAAGCAAAGAATCCTAAGAATCCATCATACTTTGCAGTCGCTACGCATAATGTGCAAGAGAGAAAAAGTTATCTATTATTTTACTCACATTTAAAATAAAGTTATCTTCCTTAAAATAGGTTATATTAATAATGTCTGTAAGTCAGTTATATAATGTCATGCTTCCTGTTCCCTGAGTTTCCAAATAGAGGTGTGTGTATCTTCAGGGATGAAGAAATATAATATTCTAAGGCAGGTGCTATTCCACAATTCTCTGTTCATCTGTTGTCCTTACATAGACCAGACATGTTCAGCTACTTTACAATCTTCCTACAAAACAAATAAATAGATAAAATGAATAAGGAAGAAAAAGACAGGCACATAAACCAGAAAAAAGTAGAAGCTTTTGCTATTCCTTCCTTCTCTAATTGTTCACTTGCTGTCTTTCTTGTATCTTAGAATGTAATCTGCTGTTACTGGCCTTCTTGGTATTCTCTTGCTCCTCACAGAGATGCTTCCATGCATTGAATGCTTTCTGAACTCAACTTCCACTATTTAAAAATGATGAAGGTGGCTGTTTCCTGTGTTATCCTGAAGTTATAGCAGTTGCAACAAAGAATCTTTAACCAGTCTCCAGGCTGATTCATATCCCATTCCACGTGCTTTGTCACTTTGTTCTTTCACCTAACATAGATGTAGAGTACCAGTTCCTATGAATTGTTTAAAATCATAAATTCTAGATGGTTTTTCCACTTGGAATAGATCTCTGCTGTATTAGAGACAGCTGCTATTAATTTCTAATGGCAGTTTTAAAGTAGAAAATTACAGTAAAAATTTGAAATGGCTTGAAGATGTGCCCACTTTTATTACAATATTTTGCCTATAAGTTGCTCGTAAAAACTATCAAAGAGCAAAAATGAATTAAATGATTTGCATATGACAATGAGAAATGATTTGCATAAGCTGTTCTGAATAGAAAATGCTGTAATGGCAATAATTCTGGGTACATTAGGAGAATTGGCAAGATCTATGCTTATCTCAAGTTTGATATGTGCTTCAGATTAAGGTCAGAAAAAAGCTGGAATAAATTGTTTGCTTTTAAAGTCCTGTTCCTTAAGGAGTTGGGTGGGTCCAACATCTAACAGTCTAAGCTGTAAAGGAAAACTCTCTTATGTAATTTGCAGCAAATCCAAAGCTGCTTCTAAAAGCTGTAGCTCATCAAACTCACAAGTGCTATATTCAGGGAAATATGATGTTGCAATGCACATTACATCAGTATTGCAGATACAGTACAGTGGGTACTGCTGTTGCTTAAATTGCTGACTTGTATTTTTTTTCATCTGGATCAACTGAGTCAGCAAGTTCATTGTATTTGGAACTATTTTATTTCCACAGCAGTTCTGCTTTCATGTGGTTGCAATGAAAATGCAACACATTTCCTGCATTCCTTAGCAAAAGACATTGCTTTTAATTTTACTTTTTACTTTGTGTACAGCTGAGATTCTCAGAAAAGGAGGAATCCTCTCTACGTGGTTTTGGCAAACACTAGAATCTAAACATTGACAAGCACTAGGAAAGTACTTGCCTGAAGTAAATGTGATCAACAGAATGTGATAAACCCACTTATCCATTCTTCTTGAATCTGGTATTCCATATGGAATCAACATCCTGTAGCTGAGCTAGGTAGCCTATAGTATTAAATTTCTTCCTGCTACGACGCAAGCTAAAATCTGAATGAAGATTGAGATGCTTGTGGTTCATGCTCTTTCATCCTTGACCTGTGCTATCAAGTCATTACTTAAAAACACAGTGAACAGCCTGCATTTCACATAACACAGTTTTATTTTTTTAAAATATATATAGGATGAGGAACAAGGAGGAGAGGGTATAGAGGAAGATCAAAAGAATATTAGGGCAATATTAGGGCTGGCAACATTGCCATCTTTATCAACGTTCTGACATTAGACTGCTTTTCAGTCTGGGAATAGACTGGAATAATATGGATTGAGAATGTCTGTTTAGAATGCATGAAAATATGCATTTCAGAATACAACTGAAACTTGGAGGAAAAGCCACAGCTAGAAAAATCCATGTCTACAGGAGAGTAGTTGCAGAAAAAGAGTTGTCTTGTAAGACCTAGGAAAATGTAAAGGAGTTATGTATAACATTAAAAGGATTACAGCAGAGAAATTAGGCCAAGTTTATGAAAGTCACTACTGCTGAAGAAACAAAGCATGGCAGATATGTGGCAGGAGAAAGGGTCACATCAGATGAGTGGAGACAGAAGAGGGTAGAGAAACAATTGAAGAAAAAAGCAGTAGAACTGAATGGCTGCCAATCCATGAAGCTTTTTAAAATAACTTCTGTGTGTGTGTGTGTAAGGTATGTGAAAATAATGCAAATAATGCTTTTTCTTTTTTTTTTTTCTAAAAGAGAGCAGTTAAGTTTGTTGCATTTCACAAAAATATTTGAGTATGTATGAGAGCAGTTACAGCCACAGAAATTATGAAGTTAGTAAGGAGAACTGGAGATACCAACGTGAGGGAAAAAGACTGTATATTCAGTTGGCAAAAGATGGGAACATATTTGTAAAGATGGTTTAAAAGCTTCTGGCATACAGCAGAGCGTAGACTCAGAGCAAATATATTCCATACATCACTGGAGCCTAACTTGCATGTTGGCAAATGTCCTGCAGGCTAGTTGGAGTTTTAAATTTGATCTTTCACTTGTATTACACACGTATTACCTGGGATTGTACTGTTGTCGTCTGCCTGCTTTCAAGTATTTCCTGACCTGTGCAGTTTCAGCCTCCATTCTCTCTGGTTTGGAATCCCCATGTCTCATAATTTCTGCTGAAAGCTGTTGAGGTCTTCCTATTTAGCAACCACAGAAGGCTGAGAGCATGGGGAATGAAGGATTTTCAAATGCTCAGACAGCAGAAACAGACAGCTTCCAGATTTTGTTTTCTCACATGATATGAACCTGACTTCTTCTATACCTCAAATCTGCCAATTATTTGTACCATTTGGCTGGAAAATGTTTTGCTTCACCATGGTGAATATCACTGGAAATAAAGTAGGTTATGTATGCTCCACGTGTTACAGGTAATTAGTAGAAATCAAAGCTCTGTTGCACAGATTTTTATATTTGCTCTCAGACTATCAGCTTCCTTGCACTTCCTCTGGAACAACTAGCACTGGCCTTTGCCCTTCACTGGGTAGTGGATCAGGTGGGCCAGAGCTGTGATGCAAAGACAGAGCACAAAAGAGACGCTTGTGGAAGAAAGAGTGAGCAGAGCCTTATGTACCTATGGTGGTTTTCTGCATATGGTTGGGTCAAGCCACTCGCCTCTCCTGGAAAGAGAAAGAAAGAAAGAAAGATCCTCGAAGAGATACAGGGAGGAACTTTGGGTTTTTTCAAGCCCCTGTAAGCAGAAGGCAAGCGAGGCCTATTTGTCGTACTCCAGTTTTCTTTGCTCCCAGAAGGCCAAGAAGTGAGAACAATAACAAACATTTTTACTCGTTATCATCTTTCGTGTTGCTGTGCAAAAGATCAGATAAAGTTTGAGTCGTAATGGTATGGAAAAAAGAGCTATTCCAAATATTCCTTTTGTGGGAGCTAGATGGCGCCATAGATTAGTGCTCCACGACTTTACCTGGGGACTTTCTGGAGCAAACCCTGTTTGGTCAGGGAACAACTTGGCAACTAGTTTGCTTGCAGAAATTTAGATCGACAGAGATATTCAGATTTTTAAATGCTCTTGGGTTCTCAGACCCCTGGATCTGTAAGGGCTCTGAAGCCCAGCTGTTTCAACATGCTGTGACTAATGGATCCACAGTCTTCAGTACCTGCTGCACCAGGTGCCACGCACTAGTCCTGATTGTCAGGCTCTAAATTTAAAGACAGGTGACTGAAATAACAGAAGTTGTCCCTTTCTTTCATATACTCAAGTGGAGAAGAGCACAGCTGCTAACTCTGCTGCAAATTTAGTTTCTTATCATCATCTACAAATTTTGCCTTTTTTTTTTTATCATTAAAAAAAGCAAAAGTAAGAAACCAACAACCCATAATTCCCCTAGCAGCGCTGAGATATATTTCTGGTTTTTTTTTTGTTTTTTTTTTTTCCAGGCTATTTCTGTTGTTGCGTTGTTAAAGGATATTTGCCTACTTGCCTGGAACCATCCAAACTTTCCACTGAACTATTAAAAAAAAAAAAAAAAGCACAATAGAATAAACTGGAAAGCGCGTCTCTGCGCGCAAATGTCAGCAGTGTTGGGCATGGGATTTGTATTCAGACAAAGTCTTGCTATTTTTCTGGCAAAAAGTATCTTACTTAAAACCAAATGGCTTATAAAACAATGCAGAGAGACTGGGGAAGACCATTTTATTGTGAAAAACTTGAAATGAAAATAGTGCCATGCGAGAACTTTCAGTGGTCAGTGATGGGAGCAGCCACAAGACATTTTGGACAATGATCAGTGAAGACTGGAAACCATTTAATGGGAGTTAAATATCCAGCTCAAAAAAATATGCTCAATTGTTGTGCTGTGGCCAGTATGCAGCAAGTTCAGCGATAACCAGCTCCCAGCTCTCCATCCCCCAACCCTTCATCACCATCATTAGACCCAGCTGTGAGCAAAAAGATTGGTGAGTGATTGGCCTAGGAAATGAGTTATCCTTTCGCCTCTCGAAGAGCTGAAACATAGTGATGCCATCATTAGTCTCAGCTCTGCGAATATGCAGAAAGCCTCGATATTCAGCTGAGATGGGAGGTGGGGTTCAGATCCACACAGGGGTTGTCCAGGCCAGGATTTTTTTCAGCTTTCCTCCCTGGGGTATCTGGTACTGCTTACGACCAGAAGCACGACCAGAGGCACAAGAGCTGTGAGGTAGGAGATCAGAGCCCCATCTCTGCAACTAGGGATGAGCTGTTCTGCCCCTCAGTGACCCACTTTCCCTTCCCCCTCTTTCTCTTTTGCCAGTGTAAAATGCAGGCTTCTTGAGGCCTCAGCTTGCTTGTTCACGCTGCATTCAGGCTGTGATCCACCATGTGGTACCATGATACAAATCATTGCTTCCAAGCTTTTTAAAAACCAGGCCCAAAAATATGACTGCTTAGACAAAATACATTGGGAAGAAGCTCTCAAGATTTGTCCCTGCCAGGAAAGCAGATGCGTGTCTGTTTATTGACCGTGTGAAGAGCAGTGCTGAGGGGATGGACATTCATAAAGGGGCACATTCTTAAAGCTTTACTTCTTCCTTTTTTTTTTTTTTTTTTTTTCCTGACATTTGCAGTGTTTTGTACTCTGGCAACCAGCAGAGCTCCACTGATGCTGACTAGCAGAGCCCATAGAGATACTAAGGAAATATTTTTCCTAGCAACAAGCGTCGCACAAAAACATGAAGAAACGCTTCCCCTGCTCATATTTCCTTTCAATATTTTCAGTCATCTGGTGCTGAGATAAGAGCTGCGTGGTGAAACCTGCTGTTAGTTTGTGTTTTGCAGGCAATCTGGAGCACTGAGGATCACGCCAGGCCTGCCATTAGGGCAGCATGGAGTCTAAGATGGCAGCCATGCCAGGCTGGGCAGGAGGGTAGATAAACCAGGAGAGGTTCCTGAGGCTACAGCCTATGAGCAGGGCCTTGCAGAGTTCTTGCTTGTACTGCCTGAGGTGTCAACACAAAACCTGCCTCAGATGTGGCCATTTTGATATTGTTTTGGTGAAGAAAAACACAGTTACTGGAAGCAAGTTTGAGTCCCACAGCAAACACATAAGTCTTCCACTGTTAACTTCCCCTGCGCTTCTTTCAAAACCTGAGTGGAAAACTGGGAACAGTTCTATCATCTTTGTACATCAGCATTTTCAGTTTTCTGCCTGCTCTTTGGATATAGCTTCATTCTTATATATCAGTACTGTCTGTTTTCTGCCTGCTATTTGGACAGGACTTAAGTATTAACTTTATTTCAACGGAAGTGCAATATTTGGGAATTGTTTTATTAGCCATGTGGGTGCAATGACTGATACTTGTGTCTGCTTGTGAATAACTCCCCCTTATTTTCTGTCCTTGCTCAGCCATGCTGAAAATGTGTGCAGATGTGAGGCCAACAGCAGCAGCAGAAAGGCTTTGTCAACACCAGCAAATCACTGATTCTACCTCTGCAAGGTCAGCTTCTGAAGGCAACGTGTGTGAGACCAGAGCTCCACAACCGGTGAGGAACGTGAATTGTCAGGAAATATTTAGAAATTACACAGTGTTAGTGAACAGGCAGAAAGCTTTCACATGATAGAGCCAACATCTGAATTCAATGCCAGCCTTGCATCAATAGGGTGAATAGTTTGTGAGTAACTTCAGTGGGGTTAGAATGAAGCTTGGGAGATTCTTAATCATTCATTGATGGTCGATGACACAATGAACATCTGCAGAATATGTTCCTGTGTCATCAGTGTTTTTCCTGAATTTCTTCTTTAATATTTTGGAAGAATTTATCCTTTGAAAAAGCTCTCTATAATAAAGTGAAAAACTTTGTTTGTAGTGGAATGCTTGCTTCTGTGGTTATTTAGAAGTGGCTTGTATAAAGATAGGAGCAAATTGGTAAAAACTGTTTTGAAAGTTCCATATAGGAAACAGTATACAGACTCAAGACAGAGATGTGTCCCAAGATTACAATGATCCTGGAAGTTTGAAATGGAGATCTACATGTCGTATTCTACCTGTACATATATCAAAGATACAATATGACTCTTAAAAGCTCTACTTTGCACTTTCATGGTTTCTGCATATAGAGCTGGAGCTGATTTTTTTGCAATGTAACTGCAAATAGTACCCAATTATAATGATTTAGCAAACCTTAAAAGAAAACTGAATTGCAAAGGATGAAGTTTTAAAAATAATCCCTCAGGGTTTTTTTTTTTTTTTTAGCCAAATTTGTATTCTTATGCATTCTGGATTTGCCAGTCATTGGCTATAATTTATCCGGGAATTGTATCCTGATAGGCAGGGACCAGATAGAACAACTCAAGTCTCTATTGTGTAAGGAAGGCTGTATTCTCTGTTTTATCCTTCACTCTGTAGAGGCAAACAATGTGAGGAAATGGTCTGTTGATCAGCATGTTATATACAGTGTTCTATACAACGAAAGATATAGGAAAAATCATCTTCTACCAATTCAGATAATGTACTATGGTCACATTGGTAAGGTACTCTTCATTCGTACAGTGCTTAATGGCTTTTTGTTGTTTGTTTTCTGAGCTGTTACTGACAGATTCTTTATATAAGCCAGAGCAAATTCAAAAGCATGTATTTATTTCAAGATAGAAGTGGAAACATCCCCTCCTTGAAGCTAATAATAGGATTGACATTGTTAAACAATTAAATTTAAAAATATTAATGATAGATCCTTCATACATGTTAAACAAAACTTCAATAAGCACTCTGTTTTATTGTTTAACTGTATGTATGAGTCATGAGGAAAGTGTTAATGTTCAGAATCGGATATGAATCATGTATTTGTGAACAATCTTCCAAGGCCAGCGCTGAAACCCCAAACACATTTATTCTTTGTGGTTAGTCAGCTCTGTGCTTGGAAACTGAAAGTGTAATCAAAGTGAGAGTTTGTTTATTAACTAGCGGATGCTGTGCATCTTATTTACACAGATTGATAATGGGGGGTGAAAAATAAGGGAAAAGTTGGTAATGCATAGAGCTCTGTGTCCCTGGGGTACAAACTACAAAGGGAACCTGAACAGCAGCAGCACTGGCCATTAAATGCTGAAAGCACTCTGTAACTTTAAAAAGAAATCCCATATTCATGACAGGAATCCATATGGCACCCTATTTGTGAGGAGAGGTGCCCCATTCACTTAAAAGCTGACTTGCATCATTTGTTGTTTTGACTGCTTTAGCATTAGGGTGAGAGAATGCACTTCAAGGGGAACACAAATAGGACAAGTAAAACGCGCAGGATTAACTTGGGTATTGTATTGTATAGATTTGCATTACAGATAGAAAATTGGAATTACTGAGCTACAAAGTTTTTGTGCTGACTGTATTCAGGCATACTAAAGAAATGAAGTTTTTTGTAGAAAGTAATCTCACCTGGTAATTACTTCCAATCATTGGTAATAAGTATGTTCCTAATTGCGCCTTTTCCGGACAGACACGGAGTGAAAGGAAGGTTGAGTTGCCTGTGTTGGAGAAGGGACAGAGGTAACTGCCAGAATTCATGTCCAGTATTACAGGCTAAGAAAAGCTTCTGAATGCTAGCTGTGGTTTTGTGGAGATGTTTGGAAAACTAGTTTGGCCTCTGATACTGCTTGACCTTCAACAAACTGTTTTTCTTGTCTGATTTCTCAGCAGTGAAATGGATCCCCAGAAGAATTTGATGAGGCTGTTTATAATCCACTGCACAGTCCTCTCTACTCAGGGAATTGCTCTTGAATTTTAGTTTGGCTAGGTGTGTATGATTTATGCCTGTATGGCATACAGTATGAGACTGCTCTGAGGTATGACTGAATCAGTGTGGCTTTTGCAAAGGTATGTGTTTGTTTATTCAGCTCAGTGTTGGTATTCTCATCACTTCAAAATATATTTTCAGCACAAACAATTTTTTTGTGTGTGTGATTATGTGTATTTGAGGCAAATGTAACATTACTGGCCTATTCTTGTACAATCACAGAAGTGTGGGTATTAATTATAGTATTAAAAGGAAGCAAAAATGCAGTTTAAATAACTTGGCAAAACTTTGACTGAGCTTGCATTTGGACGGAGTATTCCTGGCTGTATATTCCTTCTACTAAACTCTCTCACAGATAAGAAATGACATGTATTCACAAAATGTGTTCATACAGAGACTATTCTGCTTGAGAGCCTGAATAACTGGTTTTGCCACACGCTGAAATATGATTTGTGTTCTCAGGTGACAGGATGCTTGGGGTCACAGCTGGCACACATTTGGCCTGTTCTGAGGCTTTTGTGGAGGTTTCTGCAGCCACCTCCACGTTGTCCCATTGCTTGGGACATGCCTTGGAGTTTTGTGGAGAGCAGTGTGGTTTTCTTTGACTTGTAAATTTAAAGGATGCAATAGTTAGCGTGCTGCTAGAGGAAAAGTTACTTGCAGTGAGGTCTGGTGATGAATAACTAAGCAGGAAGAAATCATAGGTATAAATCAATGATGATTTTATATTTAAACTTCATTTCCAAGTAGCTTTCCAGCTCCTTAAACATAAAGGCTGGGGAGGGACTTTTTACAAGGGCATGTGTTGACAGAACAAGGGGAAATGGTTTACAAACTGGAAGAGGGTGGATTTAGAATAGGTATTAGGAAGAAATTCTTTGCTGTGAGGGTGGTGAGTTGTGGAAACAGGTAGATCAGTGAGGTTGTGGGTGCTCACACCCTGGAAGCATTCAAGGCCAGGCTGGATGGGGCTATGAGCAACCTGGTCCAGAGGGAGGTGTCCTTGCCTATAGCAGGGGGGCTGGAACCAGGTGATCTTAAAGGTCCCTTCCAACCCAAACTATTCTGTGATTCTGTGAAAGTTTTCCTTCCAATATTTTAACACTAATCTCTTGCATGTTTAAAGCCACAAAATGTACAGAATAAAAAATATAAATAATTAAAAGGCAGTTCATTTAGTTATTTCACTTCTGATTAAGCTGCTATGTCTTTTGAGTAGGGCCAGACCTAGCTATCACTGCTACTTTCTTCTGTTGCAGAAACATAAATTGACATTTGATTAGGAATGCTTCCTCCCTTAACCTGTGCTGATTTCTTTGTATTTCCATGTGGTGCGCCCTGTTGGCTGTACACAAAAGCAAGGAAGTTCTGCCTTTGAAGCAAAAAAAAATCAAAATCTTTTAACGAAATTAATTTAGTCTCTTTAATCTTGTGAGAATTGTATAGGTCTCATCTTAAGTAATTTCTGTTAGTGAATAAAATACAACTGCACAAACCAGCGTCGTGTTGTTGCTTCATAGCAAAGTACTTTCTGGAGGCTGAAATTAAATGTGTTAGAATGTAAACATCTTATTATAGATAGGATTGATCTAGCTTGCTGTTCTGGCAATTTTTTTTTTTTTTTTTTTTTAATTGACTTGGATCAAGTAGTGTTTCTGAATGGTGATATCTCTGGATGTGTCTCTATCTCCAGCTAAGAAATTGTAGTTGCATGCTGTATCAGAGGTGAGGAAGACACACTCCCATTGCAACCCGGTGCAAATTGATCCTTCTCTCACTTCATGTTTGGTTCAGCCTGTCATACGAACAGCTCAAAATAAAGAGATGTCCTGGCAGCTCAGAGATGCTTGAGGTACTCTTAATGCCTCTCCTTACTGATGGTGAAGCATATGCAGAAGGGGTGGATTTGACACAATATTGCTCTGTTGATGTCTTCAGCTCCTTTAGCCTGGAAGAATTTACAGCTGTCTTACAAGCTTTCCTGTTATCTCTCCTCTGAGTAATGCTGTGTAGTCTGTATCCATAATTTCAGATGCAGCCTAGTGTTTTCCTTATTTGTGGCTTAACAGTCGGTCAGATTTACTGAACGTTTTTCTTATTAGAAGTTTGTCTTTTCTTTTGTTTTTTTTGTCTCCAAGTCTTTGTGATTTCTGCCTGCCTTCAGCGGGCAGTTAGCAAAGCCTGCCGCCTTCTCAAGGTTGAAAATTTAAACTTTGCTGCCACACGTTGTCTGCGGGTTAAATAATGACTGTGCTGAGCTGATTAACAGAGAACATTCAGTTTCCTTATTGCTGATGAAAGGGCTAGAATACTTGTCCAAATCCCATTAGTGGAAACCTAGTCATTGCTGAACTATGTCAGATTTTCAGAACTCATGGAGTAAAAATGTACAAAGATGAGGTATGAAAGAGGAAAAAAAGAACTATTTTTATGAGCTGCTTCTGCACTATTGCAGTTTATTTTTAAAAAATGCCCATAATCTTTGCCTATGCATGATCAAAAAATTTTTATTTAACACCTTATCATTAGAAGGCACACACAGTATCTTCATAACATAGTAGCTATGCGTCTTATCATAACAGTCTTCAGGCTTTTATAACCAATAAGTGCCTGGTAAAAACAACAGCAACAAAAACAAACAAAAAAAAAAAACAGAACAAAGAGGTCATCCCCTTAGTGTTCTCTGATAGGGATGTGAATGTAGGCAAACTAAAAACAGCCCCTTTGAGTTGCACTTTTTGGACACTTGT